TCCCGCTCACAATGGCGTCTTCCTCACAAACGGAGTCTTTAATCATAAGTTTCATACACCAATTTTGTTTGGTCATATCAGCTTGAAGGAAAATGTGCTCTAACACACAGGCACAGTCCCTCTCTGCGTATTACCGCCCCTCACGCTAGCCTAGCTTTTACACATTTCTCTCTGTCACACACACACACACACACACACACATTGAAGAGGTAAGTTTATGAGCGAAATGATCCAGAAGAGAAAAGGTCATTACAGAAGAAGCCCGTAACGTTACTTACCGATTTCATGGCAGCTGCCATATCATCATATCTCTCTGCCTGCTCGGCCAGCCTGGCTTTCTGCACCAGTTGCTCGCGGTCTACCATTTTAGATGTGTGTGTGTTGCTGTCCCGTGTGTTTCGGAGCTAAAAATCGTAATATGAATGTTTTAATGCAGAGTTAACGGCGCCGGGTGCTCTCGCTGCAGCTGCTGCCTGCTGTCTGTGTGCCTGCCGACGGACGGGACACCCCTCCCCCTCCGACCACTTTCCCTCGGTGGTGTCACCACCCAAAAAGGCGTGTCTTCACGGAGTGATGTAACGAGGCTGGCAGTCCGGAGAGGATAATGACAGCACAGCCTATTGCCCTGCCGTCCGCCGCTGGAGGCTTTTACACTGCACGGATTCAGGGGGAGATTCTGAGCTTTTCATATAGTGGTCCCATGTACTGTAGTGGTGGAGCTGCCGGTGCACGACTCACATGCCAAATGCAAAAAAAAAAGCTTGACTGCCAACCGGGCAAATGTCCAATACCCCGGGCCCCAGGCCCCGGGCCCCCCATGGGCTGCTCCAAAGGCCTGACGCAAGAGTGCTGCAGGCATGACGTAGTTTTCTAGGCAAACCCGGAAGTTAGCATCGCCCTGGTTGCTTTGACACTGTGATTTTTCCACAGGGTTTTGGATTGTAGCAGCAGAAATGTTTGTGATACTTACACGTTTCATTCACAATGGACACCACTTTTATGAATTTTAAAGCGTTAATGCGATGGGCAGTAATAAAAAGCTAACATTAGGATAAATAGACTACACTATGGTTATATGACTTCAGCGTCTCCACCACTAAACTTCCTACCTGTAATTAAATCGTGTAATTAAAATCTACCGGTTGGTAAGTTTGAGTTCAGTTTGCAGAAGCGTGAGTATACACATGACAAGGCTCTGTATTCGCCGTGCTAGCATTTAATATCACTGATGCTCTGTAGTTTCATTTAGCCACTTTCTTTTTTAAGACATGTCAACGCTTCTAAATTCATGGGCAGGGTCATGGCGACATAATCTCTTAAGCTTGTGTTAACCACAGACCTTATTTCTGGCATTTAACCACTAACACATTCAACAAAACCCTCTGAGATAAGGGAACCACAATTGCCACAATGCTAACTAATTCCCAAGTTTTAGGACTAATTCCTGCAGTACTCTATACCAACTGGCTTTACGAGGGCCTATCTGATCTTGTAGGCCCCGTCTTGAAGAGGGAGCCCTGTGTCAAAATCTGGTCTTCATCATTTCATCTGGTATGAAGCTCACATTGCTGATAATCCTCAATTAATTTGCGTGTTATCAGATTACCTCACACCAAATTTTGCCATGTATTCCAGATCTGGAAACTGGACGCTCTGCTAAGAGAGAGGGAGGAACAGGGCGTTAAAATAGGGTTATTTCTATCTAGGGGTCAAAGAGTAATACCATTTCCAGGTAGCCCAACCTGTACTGAAATAAGGATAAAGACAAGATAATGCTCTCACGATATATGTTGCTCTTACAAGATACTGTAATTTCTTGTTTCTCAGAATACATACAGTCTGTACAGTAGTGACCACAAAGGCTCAATGTATAATATGTGTAACAGGTAATATTTTATTAAGAATACATGTTTTACTTATTATTTTATAATAATGATTGAGGAAACCAATTTCCTGTCCTCAGATCTGATTGGTTGAGTCACCTTCAAACCCTGTAGCTGATAAAGAAAAGACACACCTATGACCATAAAACAGTTCATATCTTATGTTTGACATTACTGCAGCATTGTTGCTTGGCAGTGGAGAAGCATAGCAGTAAGCCTATTATAGTTTGAACATTGAGAATTTATCAGCAGTTTCATTTTGTATTATTTAATAAGGAGGTATTAGTGCTGTGTTTTTAACATTAATGTGAAACAATGTTTTTAAATATATGAACAGAATCTGGTTTGTTCTTATACAATTATTAATTGTTTTTGAAAATACCTTTGTAACCATGGATATGCCATTTGCTAATATTTCTGAAGTAATTGTAATCTTTGTATTTACTGTATGAAGGAGACTCATAATGCTGATATGCTGAGTCATTTTATCATGAGTCATAGAACACGCCCTCAGGCCATTATGTTTCCCTGTCCGTGTAGACACTGATGTTTCTGAAATTGATCAATCAGTTCCAACTTTGCTCTTCAGCCTGCAGGCTATGGAGAGTCATTAAAGCGTCTTTTTTATTATCTTTGATTGACTAATTATAATGCTAATTTAAGATGCTGAATTATTCTCAATTTGACTAATAACAATAAGGTTTTGCCATCAGAGTGTATGAATCCTCTAATTGCAGATATCTGTTGGTCAGGTTTGACTGTCTGTGAAAGCCAAATATTTAAGTGATACTTAACTGATCTCACAACTCAGATTTAAGATACTGTGTCTCCAACTTAATTCTGATTGTAAAATATCCTTAAGAAATCAAAGTTACAATTTTTCACAAAATCTATCAAATTATTTATACATTTCTTTATAAAGTATATCTTAAACTGAAGTTATGTCTGGTCAAACTTAAAATCAAGAAATGGTGAATTTGTTTAAAGCCTATTTAAAATAACTACAAATACGTAATTTAAAAGGTATTTAATGTGCTCTAAGATCACCCAGACTGTTGTCAGGAGGTAAAAGGTACTACATTTTCAGCAGTTTCTCGGGCAGCTGTCAGTCAAACCTTTCTTTATAATTAACTCCTTGATATTTAGTTAATTCTGATTCTTCTCAGCAAAATCAAAGTAATCTGACATCCTGAATTGGGTTGGAGCCAGAGTGGACAATTAAATCTTAAATGTTATTGGCATTACAGTGATGCCTTCTAACTTTCAATTCTTTTGTATTATTGATGTTTTTATCTGATCTGAGACCAAATGTGATTTTCTATTCTATTCTTCAACACATTTTAATATAATGGTAGAGGAGAACGGGGTTGGTTGTCACATTCATTACATCTCACTCCCTAGATGTAACGCTGTTAAAAAATGTTGGCATTGAAATTTCTGATTTTCAGAATTGGGGTCAGAGGTCAGGACATGTGATATTGAGGTGAGAGGATCTTAAGACATAAATGAGATGTTGCATTTCAGTGAAATTAATCGATTTAAATTAATTTTTAAGATTGCCTCCATTTTATATTTTTCCCCAGTAAAATATAATTGGAACAACCAACCCCATAGTGTGTGACTACCAACCCTGCAATGGAGACGGTTGTCATAAGTACACAAGACGCATTTGACAGTCCATATCTTTTGAACAGAATAAGCTTAAGGAGAATAAGGTCACTACATTCCCATCTGACAGTTTACACATTGAAAGGGAATCTAATAAGTGTGACGACCAAACTCATTCTCCCCTACTGTTCATATGTTTTATGGACCATTTAGAGTTTAAAGTGAGATGTAACTTTTGAAAGGAGAAAAAACACATTCTTCCTCTTATAAAAGAAAATTGAATAATAAAAAAATGCATCCTTGCCCCTTTCAAAGCTGTATTTGATCAGATAGGACCATTAGCTTATTGTTGCTAATGTTAGCAAACTCTAGATAGTTACTGCTGTGTAACTGACACTACTGATCAAACTGAACTTGCTGGTTTTATTCTTTACTTTTGCTTTTATTACACTACATTTTAACATTAACTACAATTATCACTCTTTGGCACATTTGGCCAATCAGTATTGTCCAATACGGATGCAGTCCGTTAGTGTAATTTTATTCATGCTAATTGGCAATTATCTATACATATCAACTAAATGATGTTATCATTGGTATCGTTTCACTTTGGTGCATGGACTGAATAAGCTAACATCATGTATTAGCTCAATAATTAGCTTGTTGCTATTAGCTACGAATGGTGAAGGACTAATGGAGGGAAAAGTAAAAGGTGTAAATCATGCTGTAACTAACTAATACTATAGTACCAAGTGAGTCATCATATTTGCACGTGCTTTTATGAAGACTAAAACATTAAAGCAATGCACATATTTAGGACAATGAGAAATGCAGATGCTGATCTGTTTTTACACCAAAAATATATTACATACCGAAAAATAAGAACATTTATTTTGTCATATGTAAATGATTTTTAGTTACATTTATTTATATGATGTTATACAGAACAGAAGTAACACATTTATTTGTAGAGATACCGTGTATTCACAAGATATAACACAATTATTTATGGGTGTTTCTGTTTTCTTGCATTTTTGTGGTTTGAAGTATATCATTTCCCATTTGTATTTTGGTTGTATCATACATATTTGCAAATTTTGGAGCTGAACTTCACAAAAATGTCTCCTTTTATCCACATAATTAATAACTGATGGTTTTCTTCCAGTACACCTTACTTAATCATCAAAGAATCACATGTACAGTAAATATTTTATCATTTAGGGGCAAAAAAAGAGACAGACAGACAGACAGTTAAAATCTTTGTTTGTCTTTGTTTATCAAATAAAAAACAGTGTACATTGTATTTTATATCATATATTTATTTATAAAGTGCTTAATAGGCATAGATAGTTTATAGTATGTAATCATATATTGTCATATTAGTTATTTTGTATGTTGTTGGTGGTGGAGTATTCCATCAGCAATGTGAAAGCTGTTATTTACATAATGTATACAAGTCCCAGCCCACTTCCTACCCATGGTGGAGATGGGAGTGTGGTTCAGCTGAAATCACGACAGTGAGCAGGTGACACTAGCATCTTCAGAGTGGTCACAGTTGTGCACATTCCAGGATATATGGGAGCAGTCCTTCAGAGAGGCCTCCACACCGCTGCACTTGAGATTGTCCAGCAGGATTGTTCCCTTGCCGGGCCCGAAGAAAGCTTCCCCCCGAGCCGCCATGGCCTCTCCACAGCCCAGTTGACGACACACAACCTGGGCGTCAGGGAGGTCCCAAGCATCATCGCACACCGTGCCCCATTCAGAATTTGAGTACATCTCCACCCGACCCTCACATTGGTGCTGGCCACCCACCAGTCTTAGCATTCCTACAAAAATGAGTCACATAAATACATAGTGTAGAGGAAATGGGTTAATTTTATGCTGGTTGAAGATATATTTACCCTACCTTGGGAGGGTGGTGCGGTGGTGGTGGTGGCGGGTATCCTTTCTGTTACTCTAAAGTCACGTCCATTTGCAATGTAGTTTTCAAAAGCTAGGGGAAGCAGAGGAGAGCAGAAAAAAAGAGTTATCCTCTGGGTCCTGAGCATATTCAGGAAACATCAGGTCACAAAAGTATAACTCTAATAATTCTTATATAATTATTCTAATAATAATAATATATAATAATTCTTATATGATTACTCTAGTTATCAATATAGGAAGGCTCTGGATCCTTTAGGACTACAATACAAAAACACACATTGCAGCAACATTTTTGGCAATTTCAACGACAACAGTTAAAATATGTTTTTGTAATGATTGTGATGCTTATAGATTATTTCCCCTTGGCCAATTATTATTATCCACTGAAGGCAGAATTACTTAAGACAACTGATTTAAAAGTGCTGCCTTTATATAACAAATGTATAATCATGTTTTTCAATCAACCAAGGATGTGCTATCTAATTAAAGGGGAGTCTGTATGAGCCCTTGATTTAGCCTCAAAGAAGTGAAATTTGGCCTGCAGGCATGCAGTGACACTGATGTGCCTTAACTCATTCACTGTATTTTTTATGCTCTCTGGGCTGTGTCCTCCTCAAAGTACTACAGTCATATATTGCAACTGGACAGCTCAGCAGGGCGGGCTCAGATGACTGGATGAAAAGGAAGTATGAGCTTTCAGTGGAATTGATGACCTAAGATAGAGGTTTGTGATACAGACATCCTCTGTGTGCAGTAGCTACCATATCTGTGCATGTCATAAATGTATCCCCTAATGTAGCCTGCTTTCAGCCCCACATGATGTCAAGCGAGGTCTTACGTGCACAGATAACTCCAGCATCCTCATGATGGCCACAGTTGTGCTGACCCCAGCCCAGGTTGAAGCACTGGGACAGCTCCAGTTCAAAGCCGCTACATTCCACATTGTCCAGGAGGATCGGGCCGCTACCGTAGCCAAAGAAGGCCTGGGCCTTAGCTGCGATAGCCGGGCCACAGCCAAGCTGCCTACACACCACGTTGGCGTTGGGCATGTCCCAGTCATCATCACACACCGTGCCCCAAACATTTTTGTATAGGACCTCTACACGGCCCTGGCAGCTACTGTTACCATTCATCACACGAATGGCTGGTTTGGCTGCACGGGAATAAAGTACAACATTGCAAGAGGTGACTTATCTGATCAAATCTATATGGCTGACAATTACAGAAAAAGGCTATATAATATTCCCTGGTCATTCCAATATTTAAACATAATGTATTTGTGTTTATAAAGCAGGAATCAGTTTAATATTGTTACCTTTTGTCTGTGCCGTTGTGGTAACAGTTGTTGTACTTAGTGCGTTGGTGACTGGAGCTTTAGCAGTTGCTGGAGGGAAGATGTGATACATGACAAGATTACTTGATGGCACAATACATCAGACTCTATTTATATCATGGTGAGGTTAGGCTGTTGCAAACTTTTACCACCATGTTTCGTGGTACTGTGGTGTAACTCATTTAAAGACAATGGGGGAGAAATGGCTCTCCCTGTTGGTCATTTGGCAAAAGTGCACATTTCATTTTTCCTGTGGAAAACAATCCAGAAAACCCAAAGGGACATGCTGATCCAAAGGAGTAATAGTCAGTGTGTGCTTGCTTGCTTACAGATGAACATCTATTGTGTACAATGTTTGTATACCTTCTGTGTTATATGTTGCCCAGAGCCCTCTCTGGTTTTGCGTTACTGGAGGAGATAGAGTAGTGGATCCTAAGTGGGTAGAAATGAAAATAAATTAATTTATATGTTCAGTACAACTTCTGCTATTACTATTTCTACTAATACTGCTAATGTTTGTCACTAACACAGATACCTATATTGTACTACTGCTATTATAAACTCTTCAATCAATCAATAAAATCAATAGATTACTTTAAAATTTTAGCTTATCTTATCTTTACCTCAACATTACTAGCTGACTTATTCCATTGCCACTAGTATTTCCTATTGCTACAAGAACAACCACTATTATTACCACAACTACTAATAACTGCTAACATAATTATCATCAGAAATAATGAATAGAGACAAAAGAAAGTTATATAAATTGTAGGGCTGCAAAATTTATCAAAACATCATCGAAATGGCAATATGGCCAAGTGCAATATGCAAATTGCACAATCAGTATGCAAATTAGAAGAGCTGCAATGTTTTAATACAGGTAAAATAAGTGATAAAAGAACATTAAACTGAAGTATTGTAGTGCTGCAGAGATGCCTTAGCCTACAAAGCTTCTTCCTTAGATTTAGGAAAACATTTCAATTTGGTACAGACCCCAAAAATTGATTATTTTTGTGAAAATGTAATTTGTGATGAAAAAAATTCTAATTCCTACAATAATCATGAATCATATCGTAACTGCAATATCTCTCAAAACATAGCCACAAAATATACACAATCCAACAATCCATATACCGTGCAGCCTTAGTAAACAGTCAGTATACTGAATGGTTGTCATGCAGTTTTTAGCCATGATAGCAGCTCTAGGGATGCTAATGTCTCTCTGTTGTCGGTCCATTACTTTGATGCAAACTGAAATATGTTTACAACTGTTAAAAAGATTGCCATGAAATTTTGTACACACATTCATGATCCCCAGTAGGATACTTTTTTTTTTACATTGACTTATGACTGAGAGCAGCGTACCAGTGCAGGTGACCCCAGCGTCCTCATGGTGGCCACAGTTGTGTTTGCCCCAGCCTAGGCTTTTGCATTTAGTCAGGTCCGGTTCAGTGCCTTGGCAGTTGACGTTGTCCAGGAGAACCAGGCCGGTTCCGTAGCCAAAGTAGGAGTTGGTGTGTGCATAGACAGCAATACCGCAGCCTGTCTGTTGGCACACCACCCGGGCATTGTTGAGGACCCAATCGTCGTCACACACTGTCCCCCAATTTCCCTGGTAGTAGATCTCTACCCGGCCCTGGCAGGCGTTCTGTCCATTCACCAGACGGATGGTGCCATCTCCTAAACCAAGAGGGAGAGGGGAGGATTTAAAGGGACATATGTATTTCTCTACAACATATTTTTATTATCTGTATTAATGCTAAATTTAATATGTGCTGATTTAGGGCTGTCAGAGGGAAACTGTTACTTCTTCTTGGATTTATGCAAATGAGACAAAGGGAATGAGACATTGATACAGAGAAAGGAGAAGGGTGTAGGCCTATACAATACATACTGTGGCTCCAAAAAAAAAAACTGAAGCAGGAGAGAGAGTTAAGGTGAACATCTGATATTGTGCTAACCACTGATGTTGTCATCTTATGCCTCAGCCCAAACACACCTTTAGAGGAGACAATAGACAATCTCATGTGTCCAGGATTTAAAAATGCTCTCCACCTGAAAGCAAGACATGAATCTGGATTGCTTCACTGTGGGTTTTATTAAGGCCACTGGAGAATTAGCTAGATACGTCACTTGTTAACTAAATTTGATTCAGCTCTCGTCTTTCAGGAACCTCATGGGAATTAAGGCAAAAAAAACAACAGGGCGACCACAACAAAGACAAACCCAGCAAATAATAAGGAGTGGCCTGGAATTCAAGAGAGAGGCCTTTGAGGTGTATTGTACTGTTTCCCTTAAGATGTCCAACAGATACTTTCCCCTGAACTGAAAGGCCTTTGATGCTGTGTGAAATTTGGTGACAGTTTTGCAAGGCTGAAATAAAATACCCCTTTGATTCAATATATGTATTTTATTTTTTTATTTTTTTTCATTTATTTTAATTAATCCTTTAATAAACTGTGCATGTCAATTTCAGTGTGATACATGATTCCCACATTTTGGACCCACAAAATAAGCCATCATTCATTATTTAATGAAACCTGCACTTGCATTTTGTAGAAACATCTGGCATGCCACCTGTCTGCTAGATTTGTGTGTGTGTGTTGTTGATTTTGATCCTACAGCATAAGCCATCTTATCGAACACAGAGAAAAGCCGGCCTGAAGTCTAAGTCCTCTGAATACACAACATATTTTTTAAAGTATCTTCTACAGTCAAGGAAGCTTCACTAGCATTTTGTAAAATTGCACTGGAAAGAATAACCGTCTGATCTACTTTATAAGAGACAATGCAGCATCTGTCCATGGCCTGATTCCATTTCTGGTGGTTTCATCAGTTGTGTTCACTGAAGATGAATGCCACATACAGGTGGGGTTTGTGTTTTTTAAAGTGAATATTTGATGCACTTTCAAATGCTATAACAGATTTATTTGGTCATTCTGGGGCAGTGGAAACAAGCTGAGCTTTAAAGTGATATGGCCAACATTTTACTTAGTCCAGCATTCTCTCTACTTATAGTTTGGTTTTGGTTTCCACTAACTCCTAAAGGAAACACCTGGCTCTTTCCCCAGCTAGTCGCTAACTGTGCGCCTTATGTTTGGTGTTTTTTTTACTGAAAACTGCTGCCGTTGCTGCCAAAGACAATGCCAAATACAGTAAAATTGCGGTACAGTAAAATCAAAACAAGCTGAAAGACACTATAAAGCTCCAGAGAGCTAAGGAGATCTGCAGTTTCGGTAGTAGTAGTTATGTGATCCATTGTTATGTAAAAATACTGAATAGTGCATCTTTTAAGTTTATACAGGAAAAATGTGTCAGTGGTCAAAGTCAAAAATGCCAAATAATAATAAAAAAATTACATTTTAAAAAATTGAATATGCCTTTATGCTTTTTTTAAAAAAAAAAAGACAAACTCATCCCTCTGATGTTTCAGGTTGGCAGAAGACCAGTCTCATTTAGATAAAAGCAGGGAGCACTTACGTAAACCGGAGTTCTCCAGGGGCGGTGTGGTGCGGTCCTCAAAACCTTTTGCCCCTACCACTGCGGGTTCTAGCAGAAAAATTTAAAGGAAGCAGGAATTTTAGTCATTTAGTCACCACCACCTCAGCCAACTTAAATGTTGTATAAAGGCTTTACCTCTGCAGGTAACACCCACATCCTCATAGTGGTAACAGTTGTGGATGCCCCAGCCCAGACTACGGCACTGACTGAGGTCTGTTTCACTTCCTCTGCAGTCCACATTATCCAGCAGGATGGGCCCTGTGCCTTGTCCAAACTTAGAGCTGCTGCCCACCGCCACAGCCACTCCGCAGCCCAGCTGCTGACACACCACGTTGGCATCCACCATGTCCCAGTCGTCGTCACACACTGTGCCCCATGATTCATTGTAGCGCACCTCCACTCTGCCCTCACACCTGTTACGACCATTCACCAGTTGAACTTTGGAGATAAAGCAGATATCTGTCAGGGTCCCATTTTGCCGTCAGTTTTCAATCACAACTACATTCTTGTCTTTGACTGAGATGAGGATATTCTGGTTATGATTGTGATACTTAATGAAAAATCTAAGGCTGATAAAATCTCTTCCTGAGGGACATTTCAACAACATGTTTCTATTTGAAAAACAAAACAAAAAACAGATAACAGGACTAGCACTGCCCTAATGTAATGACAGTTAATAGCAAGAAAAAAAAATACTTCTGAACATAATAAGCCACATGACTCCTTGGAAGTGAGTGAGGTGGATGCAGGAGGGTGGGAGGTTACATAGCAAATAAGTGGGGATTAGGGAAATGAGAGCTGGGAAAGTGACCTTGTTTAAAAAGCCCCAGGCACTGATCTACCTTCTTTCTGTTACACTGACACACAGCCAGCCACTGATAGGCTTTCGTGGTGTTGTCGGGATGCAGACATGTTTTTCTGAGTGTCTTCTGAGGGAAGATGCTGCGGTGGAAGTAGTTGTATAGTTGTATAGCTCATGCTTACCTTGGTACTGCGTCTTCACAGGGGTTTGTAAGCCATTGGCTGAAACAGCAGGGAGGAGGGGATATAGGAAAGAGGGAGAGAGAGAGAGAGAGAGAGAGAAAGAGAGAGAGTGGTCAAATTATTTGTTGAAAGGAGGCTCTTGGCCTTCCATATTTGCTGTACTCTATATCTACTATATCTATTTTCCTGTAACACTATACACAGAGTGAAACCACAACAGGAGGCCTGTTCGGACCAGGTACTGCACCAGCTACAACAGAAATATGTTCTGTGAAGGTCCAGCGTGTAGGTTGATCCACAGACTTTTCACCTAGCAACACCATGAGTTTGAGTCAGATTCCTCAGTAACTATTGGATGGTTTGCCATAAAATTAGGTTCCCACATTCATGTTCCAAAATACTTTGTGTTGTTTGCTAATTAGACTACTTTAGCATGCTAACACACTAAACTAAGATGGTGAACACAGAAAACATTATAGCTGCTAAACATCAGTATGTTAGCATTGTCGTTGGCATTAGCATTTAGCTCAAAGCTTCAGCCTCGTAGACTCTTATTTTGAAAGTGAAGGACAAAGATAAACTCTTATGCTTGATTAGGGCGTACACAACACCTAATCAATTTTTTCCCTCAATCATAACACTTTTATTAAGGCTATTAAATGAATCAAATAAAACAGTCAGTAGATATTTCTGATGCAAAACATAGAGCGTCCATGTACATCGGAGCTGTCACATGAGTGTACATTTCTGAGATGTTTTTTGACACAACACATAGCCTATTTTCCCAAAAGCCACATTAGAAGAGGTTTAATGTATAAAGGACAGTCTAGTGCCTGAAGACTAATATATCAGGTTTCAACAACTCACAAAGACACCAGAGGGATTTTTTTAACCATCATACCCAATGTAGGTCAATTCACACTCATCTCATTTGTCTATGGCATTGAAACATACACTATATATATTTAAAACTACCTATCATAGCTTCAGGGGCTGGTAATACATCTGTTTACAATGTCACATGTAGGTTACGTCCTGGTTTTTGATATGGGAAGGCATAGTTCTTATTCTAAAGGTTTATATATTAGAGGATCTGAAAAGTAAAAGGCGATTAAATGAAACATTACTTACTGGATACAGCCCGTCTGTTTATTTTCAAATCACCTGCAATTTGAATACAAAAAAATGTTAGCAAGGCACACATTTGGATATCTGTTGGCTCTATCAAGAGACAAATCCAATAAGCTGGTGTCAGCACATTTGAATAAATTGTTCTCTATATATTTGTTGATCCATAATGTCCAGTGAGTGGAATTGATCCTGGCTCCCTTCAAAATAACTGCAGGGCTTTTAGCCAGCTATCACTGGCAAACACAGGGCAGACAGTAACTGTGGACACAAAAGCACTAATCTACAGGGAGTTCACATGCAGGTACACCCGGTTCTTGAGCATTATTAATATCCCAAACATGTACTAACACACAATAAATCATCTCACGTGTCACATTCTGCTTCAGTTTACAGTAGTACTAACTTTTTCCCTTGGAATCAAGTTATCAAACATGTAGCAGAATTAATTGCTACAAAATTGCTACAAAATGAATTCAGGCTGAGTGGTCAGTAAAATGTTGATGGTCCTTATTTAACAACTACAGATTGAAAGAGACATCCTATTTAACAGTTTAAAAAGCAAGGACACAGGAGTTTGGTGTGTTACAGTGGTAGATCATAGCTTTAGATACAGTTTGGGAGTCAGTTTCAGTCTTCATACAATCAATCTCTGGTCCTGAGCCAGTATAAAAAGTTATCCCTTAAGGAAATTATACACTTTAATAACCTGTTCTATCTATTTTAGAGACTATTACTTTTCCATATATATTTCACATTGTTCTCTTTAACAATGAGAATGAACCAGAAAATTACCTGTCTTCTAGCCTAGGCATTTTTAATTAATGTGACCTGTGCATTTGAAAATACACACGTTTAAACTAGAGATGAGCGAGTACACCACTATCTGTATCTGTTCAACCAGCTAATTTATCGGTATTCGTAGCCAGACTCGAAGTGGGAGTGGGTTAAATCGACATGGTGGACAAGTGGTAAAGTTGTTGAGTTAAGCCTGAAATTGATATGGGGTGATAAGAAGTTGCTATATTTATTAGGAAACTAAGAGTAAGAGAACAACTGTTTTATAAAAGTATTTACAAGTACTGATTTGGACACATTTTACTGTACTCAGACTCATAAAAAGTACATTGTAAATTATACATTGTAAAAAGTATTGCAGCCTGTGGTTACTCTAATATCTGCTATCTCTTTTACTTAATCACTGTATGAAATATTTCTCAAAAATGGACCCAAATACAGAAAAATACATTCAAAAACATTTCTTCCTAATCATATGTAGTATTCTGTATGGCAGGTAGCTTGGAGGGAGAGGCCTTGACCAGTTGACCTGTAGACTTTGGGCAAATCCAACATGGTATCGCGGCCCCTTCCCCCACTCACAAACTCACCGAGTCGCAGCAACACACTGAAGGCCACCAAGACGAGGGTTCCTAGCAGAGACACCAGGACCCAGACGGTTGGGTTCCAGCACCTACACTCGCTCTCCACCACACGCTGGCCTCGCATGGCTGCCTGACTGACCATCCGCCTGCAACACACACATTCACACACCATCAGTTTCACACCAGGCTTCCCAAAGTCCTGAGCTGTATGTGGACGCACTTCTAAATGTAGTAGACTACAGTGTTGTAGACACTTTTCTACTACTACAAAACAATCACTATTTTTTGTCCTGGTTCAGAGTAGCCTAATTATAGTATTGGATTGTTTTCTCTGATTGAGCCTGCGGCTGTTGTTGTTGTGCTGTAGTAGGTATTGATGGTAGTCTGAGGTCAGGCTTGGGAAATGTGTAGCCCAAAAAGAAATCGTTTTCGAAATCATGTGATGCACATCGCTCTCCGTGGGCATTAGAGAGCTGTAAGGAAGTTCTTCAAGGAATCCAGGAACAGATTATTAACATAGTCACCTCAGTTTCCCAAGACATGGGCGCATGTGCCCCCGAAAAGTGCAGCTGCTGCCAATAAAACTGGGGACAGGGAGTCGAGTTACGTTGCTGTTTTGTAAGCACAAAATGGCCGCCGTGCGCCAACCTGGCAGTGGGTAACGGAAGCCGCACTGATAGTTAGAGCTGAGGAGGTTTATTTTCCAAGCTTCACCACATCATCAACAGCTGGGGATGGCTTGTGTTACAAACAGAGGAATGGCATGGTCTTTGGATTATCAAGGGGATTTTCCTTCAGATATAGAATATTGGGATTCACTGACAATCACTCAATAATCCGAGTTAGATAGTGCTGTGATCAGACACCGAATACCCTACATTCTTCTCAAGGGAGAAACTGGGATGAATGACATTTATCTGATTCAAATACAAGAAATATAAGATATGAAGTAAATTATGCCATAGTGTGAGGATGTAATTGAAATTGTTGATTTTCACATACACTGGACCAAAAGGAAAAGCAATACAGTATACGATAATATTGCCATTGAGAAGCTGTAATGACTAAATTCCAAATTTCGCATATTCTTTTTGATCAAATAGGGCAGAAATGAATTGAATCGTGTTATTAAAAACAGGTTATCATTAGGAGACCACAGTGTGCGGCTCGGCCTTGGGTTGTTTGTCTCTTCGCTGATGCAGAATTCCCCCTGACCTTACACAGGAATGTGTATTAGGGGATGATGAGGGGAGAATTTGATATTGGCCCCTCGAGATAGTGGACATTCCGAACCCAGGGGGCACAAAAAGACATTTCTGCTTTCTGTGGTCCCCATCGTCAGGCATAAACGCTGCTTCCTGCAATCTGTCACTAGAACCCTCCAAAACGCTTAGGCACCTGATGACACTGCAGGGGCGCCTCTCGTCTCCTTGGAGAGCAGGATGCAGGGGGAGAAGGGGGGGATGTTAAAATCTTGAGCCACTGTACTGTATACGTACAGTTATCTTCAGCTCGTGGAGGCACATTTAACACAGAACCTTTGTGGGGCCATTAGGGACAAGAAAAGCAGCCACAGAAACATCTCTGGACAGTTGCTGTCTTCATCCAGGTCCAGTCTGTTTTCACTGGACTGTTGCATTGTCTCAAAAGGTGCAGCGCAGAGGGCCCACAGAGAGCTCATTGTGCAACCAATTGGGAGGTGGGCATTTTAACACCAGCACAGCAAGCACAGCACTCGAGAACCACGGCTGTCTCATTTGCAGACTGTACCAACAAACCACTCGAAACTCCGGGACAAATGGCTCAGTTATGAGGGATGAAAAATAATCTAGTCCCCAATGTTATGTTTTTCAATACTCCATTCATACTAGGATGTAGCGCAGATCCGCTGGGGAATAATGTTGCCTTTTGTGTCGGCTCTGCTTCCCCTCCCTTCTCGCTTCCCTGTGCTGAGAAATAGCTGAAAGATCTCGGCCCCACAAAAATACCCCTTAATGTCTGAGATAAACCAGAGAATAATACTGTCAGTCTCTTTAACTGAGAGAAGTTTATGCCATTCAAACAGAGAATCAATGCATTTGTCAGCCTGTATGTCTGACCATAGCTTTTTATGTGCTATATCTTCTTTTCTGCAAAGTTATCTTTTTGAGCATTCAGAAATGTCATGATTCAGTATTATAAGGTAATAATTCATATAATCTGAACATGTTTGGCATTGTATTATCTTATTTTGAACATATGCCTTGCAACAACACTGTACAGGATGGACGTCTTAATTAACCTCTGTCCCATCTGTCCCTGCACATTATAAGGAATATGCAGTTATCGCAAAACAAACTTAAATGACAGCAACAATTTAAAGACACTGATATGTCACAGAACCAGTTTCATGTTGAAAATGATCATGATAATCAAATCAAGCAAACAAACAACTTAGTATTTCATTTTAAAAATACATACCTGTTGTGAATGGATTTATCTTCACCCACAATAAAAAACGGAATAAAAATAGAAAAGGGTTCGTCCCCCAAAAAGGTACTGAAAAAATGTCCTCAGTTGCTCAGATAGCAGGCAGCTTAATTCCACAAGACACACAGAAAACACAGAAAGTGTGTGTAGAAGTGGAGGCAGGAGTATCCAGCGCTACTTGGTTATGGTCTTTCATCTCCTTAACCCTGCTTGACTATAAGTACCTGGCTTCAGTGACAGAGATTACGTAAAACAATAAATACCAGAGCATTGTATGTTAATATCCTAACGCCCTACACCTGTCTATGCTTAAAAGAAGCAGGAGGGGCAAAAAAAAAAAAAAAAGAAAGACAAAGACAGTGAAAACTAACCCTTCACTGGTACCCCTGCATCTCCAGTTTCAGGTAGCGCTCACAGAAGGTGCGGTCCTGCTCATCTCTGCACACACTCACAGAGGGAGACAAGGCTGTGGCTCAGCTCCTGTGTCAGTGTGTGTGTGTGTGTGTGTGTGTGTGCGCACATGACTCTCCCACACAGAGAAACTCTAAAGTAAAAGACTGTGTGATTATGAGTCAATGAAAGTTATAAATCAGAAAGTTGTACAGAGTTGTTAAGGTTTTAAAAATCCTCCAGACCTCCGTTAGTCCCACAGAAAACTGAAACGTAATACAGGATCAACCACAGTGGAGTGAAAAGAGAAGGCAAACTGTACATGAACATCTTGGTTGAGTGTTTATTAATGCTTTAAACTGCCCTTTTTTCAGTCGTTGTCAGAAGACAAAATTGTGTGGGGTCGCTATGCTGCATTTCACCTTTAAATTCCTTTAAAATGATAATCTTAATGTGTTACAAAGAAATATTACTTTATTAAATCCTTAGTCCATGAATGACTGCACTCCATCTTGTTTATTTGTCTTCAAAAAGCCTCTCCTTTGAGCTAGAAGGAAGCTTAATGTGTATTAATGTGGTGATTTTTCAGAAGTACAAGATATTCTACACTTCTGTCAGTTGCGTGCGTCCTTACAAAGAAAAGCCCGGGGCCTCTCTGAATTGTGCAGCAGACTAATAGCAATTGCTTCACAACACTAATCCTTCCTGAGCTGCGGAGAAACGTGCAGTCTGTCCTTGGCCATTGACAGGCTTTTCAAGGACCAATTCAGGATCCTTCCTGCGGTGTCACCCGAATCAGTGATCGGGCCAAAATACAGGGATTCTGTTACACTAAGCTAATTTTCTGAACCCCGTGGATAGGGTTGAGAAAACACCACACAGCCAACGTTACAGATCTAGAAGTAGCCTGATCTTGCCTTGAAAACTTACATCTTGTGTCTGCACCGTTTCCTTTACTAAAGAGTCATGGAAATTCTCCGTAAGAGAGACAGCCTTCACAGAGAGAGAATATAATAATTTGCAAATTGACCTCTGCGCTTGTTGTGATTCTTCGCTTCATATCACACTGGCCGTGAGACAGTAAGAGATTCTATTACACTAGTAAAGAGTTTAGTTTTAAGGTGGGAAGCTAACAAATATGAATGTGTGCAGTTACTGTAAATATACCAGCCATTACTTATGTTCCTTTCTCCCTGAGCTATTAGCATTAACTGATTACTATTAATTTACTTATCTAGTTATTTACTTAAACTTTTACCTTAATCCTGCATCAACGGATTTCTTGACCACCTAAAGGCAGTGGAAACAAGCTGTAAACACTTACACTCACCTTATAAACTAAGTATAGCAAACTTGTTAACTTGTCAACACACATCCAGGAGATACTGAGAAATATTAGCATTCCTTTGAAGTCATGTTTGTGACCACACATATTCAGCTTTTAGCTCGGTTTTTGGTCTGTACCAACTCTAGCTAGAAACTCTAGGTAGAAATACCTAGCTCTCTAGCTGCTCTGCTCCTGAATGTTCAGTAGCTAGCCACTAACTGCTGAGTGCTGTACTAAGGTAGCGTACAGTGAGTAGCTGCCTCACAGAGAACGGCGAGGTGAAAACATAAAGGGTCATTAAACCAAAACAACAAGCTGAAAAATGCTAAAACACTCCATACAGCTGAGAGAACAGCAGTTTTAGGTTTGTTTTTTGGACATTTGCGGAAGTAAGTTGTGAACAACTTTTAGCTCTGCTTGTGGTCTCTACCAATAATCTAACATCAGATATTCTTTAAAGATGAGTCATTTCAAGAAATATGCAGATAATAAATGTAATGCCAATGGCAGTAAAAGTAAAACATTGCAACTGCAGACCTATTGTAACACAATCATTAACTGTTTACTAGAGAAACCGACCACTTGCTTTTTATCTATAGATACCAGACAGAATGCTATTCAGTGCATCCTAATCTGCCCCCAGGGGCCTAATGAATGTATACACCAGGGAAGAACAAGATAGTGTTTCTTTTTCTTTAGGACTAGGAACTTTTTGATGTACGTGTGTGCTGTGACATTGAGTTAAAAAGCCTCCTGTATTTTCAAGTACTTTGAAAGGCATTATCTTTGACACATAGATATAGTTCCCTCACTTATTTCCTCATTTTATATTGAAGACTGAATTTTGCGGTACCAACTTGTGTTTGCTAAAATCTAAACCAGATTCCACTGCACTTCAGTTCATCAACCTGCATTTCTGTACCTAGCTAACTTGTTTGAATATGACATATTTAATT